CAAAACTAGAGGATGAGTTTTTTCCAACTAAGGGAGTTCGACGAAGCAGCAAATGCTCCATATGTTTTAATTTTTCTTATTAAAACTCGAGGATGTATTTCTGGGGGATTTTTAGGGTTTATTTTTTTATTTTTAAGTTTCCTATGAACTTTAGGGTTATTTTAATTTTTTTAAGATTTTTAGGAGCTGTTTAGAGTAGTAGTTAGAGTACTTATGGGATTATTTATTTATCAAGTGTAAAAATATGATTACAAATTTTGTTTTAATTAGGGCTTCAATTTCCATTAGAATTAGGATTTCTTGCGCTAATGTCTTTTTTATAAGTAGGGGTCTATGTAGAGACTTTAGCATAGAGAGTTGAGTTTTGATATCTTATTTCTGGTTTAACCAGTAAGAGGCATTGAAGTCTGGCTTATAGGCTTCCTCTTTAGTTTTCTAATCAATAGATTATTTGATTTTTCTTCCCTATGAAATTCTTGTTAAAACAGTTAAGGATGCTTTTCACAATTCATTTTGACATTGCCCACCATCTTTTGCTACACCATGTCACCACAGCTCCCACTATCAATAATAACCATGCAAACCTTGCCCTAGGACATGCATCTCGTGTGGAAGACATTTGTTTCCAACCATGGTTCTTTCACTACCTTTGTGGCTGACAATAGCTACCTGATCGTGAGGAATTCACCTCATCTGGGCATAAATTTGTTGCACCTCCTTCAGGTTAATCATTATAGAAAGGCCCATGTCACATCTCCTTCACAATACTCAATCATCGAGATGTATCCCGGCCGGCCTCTTAGGGCACTCAAAAGATTGATGCTCACGCTAGCCACACTTTAAATACTTAGGACCTTTTCTCGAATTTAAAGAGACTTTTTCACAACTGGGGCCTTGACTGCCTTTGCTTTCATCACTGGGCCAAAGGTTCAAGCCAACCACATCTTGTTGCCTCTGATTAGCAGTGTGACCTTCGAGAACCAAAGTAGATCCATGATCATAAAAGCAATTTACAGAACTCCTTCAATTTTGTTTCGAGTTTTAAAGCGAATTGACATGCTTCATCATGGCTGAAGCTCTGGGACAATCAACTCATCATGGACCTAAGTTTTAAAGCCACTTGCATAACATGCAACGAAGTGATCATCATTCTCATGAATCTCATTATGGCTCATCAACAAATAGAATACGTCCGTGTACTCTGGCACACTCTTCTCCTTTTGTCACAGCTGATGAAACCGCTGACAAATCCTGGGCCTAGTCAAATGGGACGAACCTCTCCTTCAAGCATGACTTCATCTTCCTACAAGTTGCGATCTTGTTCTTCCTTTACCCAACTCACTTTAGAAAAAGCATTGGATTGCAATCAACCAGTAAATTCAGCACATTGACCCGAACACCACGATTTGACCCTTCACGAGCAACAACCACCCAATATTCAAATGCGGAGGGGTATCTCTCCCCAGATTATGAAATGAGGGGTACATCTCCTCCACAGAATAGGACCTAACAGTAACATGACTAATTGAACCTTGTTCAGAGCAGGTGTAGCACACCTCATGTGCTAGTTCTTAGAATCGCCTTGTCAGATTGTTAATATCTTCCAGTATAGCAAATCCATCACCACCATGACCACAGCCTTCTCAAGCTCCTTTAGCAGCTATGACACAAACTTGCAGCGCATCTCAGGCGCTTTGATAATGGGTCCACTATAATACCAGATTACGCAGAAACTGATAAACAAGAAGAAGAGGCAAAGTTCCAATAATTTGATTGGGAAAAAAAAAAAAGGATGAAAACTTACATGCCAAGCTTCTTAGCAACCTCTGGTTGACCCCACAAAACTATAAAAACAGAGTCTAATCACACCTTTCCTTCCTAACCTATTTAAAGACCCTGAACCCTAATTACAAAGGAATCCTAACCAAAATAGTCCTCTAACCACGAATATAAACTATGCCCTTGACATAAAATAAGACAACTCCATCCATTTTTATCAGGATCGGACCAATCACCGAATTGGCAAGGGGACTAGTCTAGTCAAAACTAGTCCGACCATTGATTGAACCAGTTCAACCAAATTTTAAAATATAAAGAAAATATGAATATTACTTTAATAATATGTAATATATCAAACAAAGGTGTCGCCCAAATTTGTTTGGCAGTCAAACCAGTCGAAACCGGCTAGTCGGATTGGCCAAACTGGCCAAACATTAGTTTTGACCGGTTTTTTACCAAAATTGGTTTTTACTTTGCACCAGACCAGCCAAGGCAATAGTCGGTGGTCCATCCAATTGGACTAGAGGTTTGGTCCGCTCTTGATAACTACGACTGTATCCCAAGAAAAAGAAAAGCTATTTTATCTCAAAACTGACACTACAATTTCCAGAGGCCATAACTTTTTGCTCGTCTATCAAAACATGCTATTATTACCATTGTCACAAATGGATCTTTGGCTATATGACGCCAAAGCCTGCAAAGCAAGTTTGACCTAGTGAATTTGGCAATGAAATGCCTCTATGGGCCTAGGTTCACCCTCTGAAGTTTGTTTTGTGAGTTTAGCTATCAAATTTGGTTTGAACAGGCTGGTTCAGACCAGTGGAATTGATGTGAACTGGTCATCTTTGATTTATTTTGACCAAATTCTAAATTTCCTTTATATTTTTTTGTTTATGTCTTTCAGACCAGTTTGACTAGTGAACCGGTCAATCCGACCAATGTGGAACTGACCTATGCCCTTAAAGGTTACTCTTGCAGTAAGGGGGTGTTTGATAATATGAACTGCAGTTGAGCAAAGTTCAGATTCTATTGTCTATTTAATCATCCTTTTTCAAAATATAATTTATACCATAGAATATATTTATATATAAAAAATAATACGATGTCCAATCAGTTGCATAAATTATGTGAATTTTATTCAAAAGTTATTCTCCCTCCTCTCTCCATGCCTCCCTAAGAAGCAACAGCCCATTGAAGACTTATCCCTTTTCACTGCAATGGGTCCTCTACCACTTTCTACCTCTCATTCTCTCTCTACTCTAAAACTAACTAAACAAATTAATTCATTTCAATAATGGTGGGCTTTTTTTCTCGTTATCCACAATAAAAATTAATTCACCAATTCTCATTTCAAAAATTAGACACAAGTTTGATAATACCCATGAATCACTCCCAACCATACTTTCAAACTGAAATATTGATCTTGAGCGTAAAAACAAGGAAGATAAAATGAATGAATATTAAATGGAAAATTAACCATACAATTTTAGAGATAAAAAATTATGGAAAAGATGTAACTGTAAATTATGTGATAAAGAAACAAGCTTCTAGGAATCATCTTGCCATTAAATAACCAAGTTCCGCCATGAATACATGAAAAATCGAAGCTTGATAATTTGATTAACAAGTTCCAGATGAATAGGCATACAACCAACTCTAATAAAACATAAATAATCGCCCAAGAATTTTCATGAATGTCCAAATACTTTCCACACTATATAATCAAACAAGGAAGATGACCGACAGAAAACCTTAGTCGTGGCAAACATAAGCAAAACAACATAAAAAACGGACTGGATCATAGAAGACACAGGCTGGATATCAGAATTACTTTTTTAAAAAAATAGAACTCCGCATTTTGAGGCATTTTGAGGGTATTGGAATATAATGAGGTAGTTTTGGGAGATGTTATTAAATAAATACTCTATTTCAAAGTATTGACATTACTCGATTTCAAAGTATTGTGTCATTTAAGGCATTTTCTGTTTATAGATTATGTGAGGTTTATCACTGAATACATCAATGAAAATAGTCAAAAGGGAATAAAAATAAATATCTTGTAAGACTACTCTCAAATGATAAGAGTATAAGAAAAGGGATGAACTTTATCTTTTTTATAAATTATAATATAATAAAGCTTAAACCATCTTACAAATGTCTACATATATAATGAATCAATAGGGGATAAACGCAATGATAGTCAGTCTAACTGTCATAATAATATCAGGAATCACAAATTAATTATGGTCAGTTTTTTATTTATATTTGCACAACTGAAACCCCAACCCAAAACAAAAATTTGCAACAACAGAACCTACAACTCAACCAGACAGTCGAAACAGATGCTTACAAGCTCATAACCACTACAACCCAATTTCCCCAGGGAGGGGGAAGTGATAAAGATTGAAACAATCCAGTGACACAAAATTGGATATTACATAAAACAGTCTGGAACAAGTAATCCAACTCAGTTTGATAAGAGAACAACAAAACCAGGATAACCCACCCAATCAAGCACTCCTAGACCTTGCCCATGCAAATACTCCATTGGATGGAATGGAGTTGGAATTGGAGCCGGCATTGAACTGCAGGAAGTACTCCTCAACATGCATACGAGAAATCGTACCAAACAGCCCACAAGGAAGTCCCTCATAGAATCGAGAACAATAAGCCAAGAGAGTAGCTAGTAGGCAGTGTGCCTGGGGGAACTTAGGAAAAGAGAACCCATTATAATGTGTTTTGTGTATATGCATTATGCAGATATACATAATGCCATTACATGTGGATCAAAATTTACACGCTGCATAGATTTAGTGAAACCATATTAATTTCATGCTCAAAGATGTAAAAGTACAAACTACTGCATAATCCATATACAGCTAGAACTATCATTGTACTACATAATAAATATACATAATAGAACCCTAAATTGATAGTGGAGGCTGAATAGAATAATAGTAAGTGATTTTAATCAAGAATTAACAAGGGGCCGGAATCAATCTACTCAAAATCAATTCAATTGTCTCAGCTCGTAAATATACTTCGAGAAACATGGACATCACCATGCAAACAATTGATGCATTACAGCTAACACACAAGCAGAGTAGCTTCAAAATAGAAGCAATGCAAGCCCTAAAAACCATAAACACGAACCATGCGCAAAAAATGGAAAATAATTATAACAGCAAAAAAAAAAATACATATTTGATTAAAAAACTTACTGAATGTGATAGAACCCTTTTCTTCAACAGAACTCAGATATTGATGCAAATGATGGAAAATTCGGGCAAAAGGATCGATGAAGATTCAGGTCAAAGCATACGAAGAATAATCCGGGGAAAAGAAGTGAAAATTAGGAGGAAAATACTCAGCGGCGAAGAGGCAAGTGAGAAAGGAGAAAGTCATTTGGAGAGAGAGAGAGAGAGTATGAGATTTGGATTGGTGATTTTTTGTAGGAGAGAGAGAGAGACTTGGGTTGGAGAAGAGAGAGAGAGGGGGAGATGGAGATATGGGTTGGGGAAGAGATTTATACAGATAGAGTGGAGGGAGACTTGAGAGAGAGATTGTGTAGAGATAGAGATTGTGTAGAGAGAGAGAGTAGCAACTGGGAAGCTCGGAAGCCGAGGGATTTGCAGCAGGGAAGCTCGGACCACAACAACCTTTTCTCCAAACCCTTCCCCACAAAAAGGAACTTGGAAAACTCCACGAGACCACAACAAGGAACTTCGATACTCCCCGAGAAAACTCATTAGCGCCCTTTTTTTCGTTGAAGATGGCCGCGTTATCACCAGCGATTGAAATATCGGCCGAATCAATCGGGTCGGGCCTGGGGATTTTAAAAAAACTTTTGAATAAATAAATAAATAATTAAAAAATATAAAATTATGAAAATTTATCAGAAATATACTTTGATTTTCATCTAATTGAAAAAAAAACTTTCAATTTTCATAAACTTCGTCCACACCCGTTTTCCTCAATTTTGATTTTTTTTTTTACTAAAATAGCTTTTACGGTAATCGTATTACCGTAATGACTACGGTATTACATCACGTAAAGTACCGTAATGATAGAGCCTTCACGGTAATACGACTACCGTGAATGATATTTTGATTAAAAAATGTCAAAATTAAGAAAAAATGGTGTAGACGAAGTTTATGAAAATTCAAAGTTTTTTTTCAATTAGACAAAAATTAATATATATTTCTGATAATTTTCCTAAATTTTTTAAAAATATATTTTTTTTATGTTTTTTATCATTTGTGGAAATCTGGCCGAAAATATTTAATTTTATACTTTCTCATATTTTTTGAATTATTTTAAAAATACCCCTGATCATAAGTTTATTTTTTTAGAATCTATTTTGTTACTACTCTTTTAACAAAGTGTTTTGTGTAATCGAACTTTAAACATACTTTTTTTTTTTTTTTTTAAACCGTTTTTGTTGCTATCGTACTCGGAACTAATCAACCAAGTTACTTGTACTCGATTAGAGAAATCGGTTTTGGCAATGACTGATTACTCAGCCCGAGTCACATTCTCTAACATTGGTTTTGAATGTAAAATCGAGATAAATTTAAGCTCTTGTGCCCCTTATGATAATGGAAAATGTTAAAATAATGTAAAAACAGGGAAATACCATTTATGCTGCATATAAGAAAGTCATAATTCCCCCTAGCCCATCAAATGTCAAATTGAATGGCCTAGGGTATATCATGAAAGTCCGAGAAATTGTTTTAGAACTTTTAGTCTAGTTGATAATATGCTTACAACGACCCGACCCGATTTGAAATGTGAATGACAATACTGATTGTGACCTCTTTGAAATAAAAATACATGGTTTTTTTATATACTTTTCCAAAATAGATATTTTTTTAAATAAATAAGAATGGAATCTCAAATCTCACCACATATTGTAGTTTTGTTGTTATGAAACTCTTAAATCGATCATCTTCTCCTTGACAATTATCAATGTTGGAAATAATATAATTTTAGCTCCAAAAAATAGTATATCCTACATTATATATATATGGGAAAGTATAGAATAAGACCATTTACTTTTTTTATAAGGTGGTCACATCAATGTTGACCATTGGATGTGAATTTGGACGGCTATAATTATTTTATTGACCAAGCTCAAACTTCAAATGAAAATTTTTCGAACTTTGTGACACATCCAAGCCATCAAATTTCACATCGATTGGTTGTAGGTAATTGTGACCACCTTTTATTAAACGTAAATGGTTTCATTGTATACAATCTCTCTCTCTCTCATTATTCCCCCTAGCCCATCAGGTCATTCCGATTTTAGGTCATTATTCGAGGTGCCAAATAATTTTTTGGAAATTTTATTAAATCATTAATGAGAAATGTATTATTCAACATTTTACACATTTGTAACTACTCTAATTCATGATCATGTTTCCTTTGATGGTTATTTCAAATTTAAATTAAATAAAACTTATGAAAGACATGTTATTTGTCAACTATTTAACATTGATATTTTACCCTTTATCAACTATTCCAACACATGATCATGTGCATTTTTACAGTTTTTTGAAAACTAAATAAAAATCATCATCATCAAAACTTTTTCCCAACTAATTGGGGCTGGCTACACTAACTATGGTCCACCATCTACTCTATTAAAGTCTAGTGATTTTTGATATTGAAGTCATATGTCATCTTGACTTCTCACTTTGAAGGTCCAAAACGAGGACTTCAAGTCTCGACTTTGGAATTTCAAGTGGAAGCTAACAATTGTCTCTGACTCCGGAATTTGAAGGTCTAAGCCATTTTAGGGAAGAAAAAA